TGGGGAAAAGGAATTTTGTGTTTTCATTGACATTTCTGCCCCTACAACTGAAGTAAGTATTTGCCCCCAAATTGTGTTCATGCCTTGTTCTTGCAATGTACCCTGAAGTATGACGCTCTGCTGTGCTCAGTCCCGTGTGCTCTATCCTGCCTGTGCAGGACTACCAATGTCTTGTGAGATGCAAAGTCTCAATAATTTTGTGCCTGTTTGCTTCTCTTCCCCTCTTGATTTCTACCTTGGCCCCTGGCAGCATGCCCTCCAAGCTACCTATGTTTATGTAGAAACCTAAAGCCCCATCTGCTGTAACATTACATGAAACTGGTTACTATTTCATCCTCTCTGGCCCTCTTTCTTCCTTTATGTGGGAATCTGGAATATCTGCATCTTAATCTGGGCATTCTGCATTTGGTATTGTTGATGTATTCCTGGTGATATCGTGACTGCTTGATCATGCTAATTATTCCCTTGAACAACTCTTTTGGATTTAATTGTATTAAAGTATTCTTCCAAACGTTTATAAGGAGACTCGTCACTTTGTCAAAGATCCCTTAACTATTACTAGTGTTGGCCCTTGATCAGGTTATGCATGTTCCTTTAAGCTAAATGTAGAACCTAAGATAGCAGCTGTTTGTAACAAGAAGCAACAGAAGTTTTCTTCCTTACTCTCAGGCTATCCTAGTGTAAAAATGGATCAATTGGAAAGCAGGTCTATGCACATGGGCACATGCCTAAGATGCATGCATTATTAACCACACATGGAGACAACACTGCTCATTAAGACTTCTAGTACAAAGAGTAACACTTTTGAAAGTCATCAGTACTACTGCAAACATGATAGTAAAGCAAGGGACCCCCACCTTTTCCAGCCTGTGGGCTCCTTTCGAATTCTGACACAGGGTGGTGGGTGCAGCCACAGAATGGATACTGCAGGAGGTGGAGCCATCCCCAAAATGTCAGGATGTGAAGTTATGTGTAACTCTAATGGTAATCCTTCAACATTTCAGGCAGAAGCTCTGCTTAACCAGACACTTAAAAAAATAAAATGAACATACTGTTTAAAATATTTTTGTTTACCTTCAGTCATGCAGTGAAAATCTCTGTGCTTTGGTGGCAGCTGATGCCAAAACAATTTATTTTAAATGTGGACAGTCTATCTCATCCCCAATGGCCAATCAGAAGCCCAGGAAGAGTATAAGTGGGTGCCCTGGTGCCCACTGGCACCTCCTTGGGTACTCCTGAACTGAAGAGTCTAGTAGTAAAACAAGCACATCTGTATACATCTGCTCAGGAAACCACAAAGGAAGACAGTTTATTAACATCTCATATTACAGTTCCTGTTTGGAATCTGTTTGGCATAGAAAAACTAGGCAGTTCTACTTGGTTAGTTACTATGTTTTTATATTGCAGCTGAAGTGCTTTCTTGACACTGAAGAGTTATACCTGAAGACAGACTTACATATCCAAAGGATTTAACACAGGAGATTTCACCAAAAATATAACAGACCTCTGAATAATAATCTCTGCCCACATCTCCTGAAGTTTTGTGAACCCCAGAGCAAGAGAAAATAGGAACAGTATAAGCTTACTGCCATTTAATTTAACCAACCAGATGAATTTTATTATAAACACAAAGCAGCTGTACTAAATATTCTTATATAGTGCATTGTTAAAATTGTGAGTTAGTGAATAGAATATTGCTATTCACAAGCACCAATTCACTGGTGGCTACACATATTAATAACTATTATGGATAACTGTCAAGACAGTTCTTTGTCACTGAGGGGGGGAAAAATCACCATTTGGAAAGGCCAGAAAATTATATTTTGGTCTAGACTACAATCCTGCTTCATTCCAGTGTACAGTGGGGAAAGGCTTTTCACAGAAGCTCGGTGCTCCTTTTTCTTACTGCCGTGGTGTTCTACTAGATGTGGCATAAAGGATCTTATTGCAAGCCAAAGCTCACACCCCCACCACACATCAGTCAGTGTGCTTCTCCCCTAGTTTCCATATGGCTGAGGTGCACAGGGGCCTAAGATGTGTATGAATGCAAATGTAGCTTACCTTGATGATAACTAGGAGTAGACAACTATCAGAAAATCCTGTCAGAGCACAGTATATCCCACTCCTAACCCCTTCAACATTGGATAGACTGCTAGGGGGTTTCACATTTTAGGCACGGTTTTAGTATTGGACCCTAAACAGCTCTCCAAAACTCATATTCACAGTTTTGTAAATATTTACCAATTAGAGCTCTGATTTCTGAATGCGCAAAGGTAAAATGCTAAGGCTGCTTCCCTTATGTACATTTTTGGGGTAAATTCCATTAATCCATATCTGTACCCATATGTTTTCCAAATTGGGCAAAAAGCAGCTCAACGTGAATTTATTGCCACCCTACTAGACGAGCCCCCCCCAATACAAATGTTTGTATTCTAAACAATAACGATTAATGCAACATCTCTGAAGGGAAAATTTTCCTTACTCTGTGAAAAGATCCACAAATGTACAATTAAAACCAGGATTGTATGATAGAAAAACTGAACATGTTGCAATTTTTTTCATCTGTAGATCTGAAAGTATTTTAAGAAGCTCATAAAGTTGCTTTGTAGCAGAATAACATTGCCATAAACAAAAGCCTTTTTAAAAATCTGCCTCAGGTAAAATATCAAAATAAGGAGCCTAACAGGTGTAGATGCTCACTCCAGAATTAATTTGATCACAAGGAGCATCTTGAAACACTTGAGGCTTGAGGCAGGGTTATTCCCCAAAGATGTTTCCTTTCCAAAGCAGAACAGCAACAGCTTACAGACAAGTCACTGGGAAAAAAACCTATTAATTAATGACTTAATGAAAATTCTCTTGTATTGGTTCTAAGACTGAAAATCAGTGGTGGCTCCTAAAAATTTGCAGGGAAGGAGACAACTGTTTTCCCACAGCAAACTCAGAGGATGCTTATTTAGCCACGGAACACCAGTGGTTGTGTTATGTGACAATGGTGGTGGTGGAGATAAAGAAACAAGGGCCCCCACACTGTGCCTCCCCATGTCAAAGTATATGCAATCCTTTACTCAAAAATGTGTTACTTCATGAGAAAAGTTTGTCATGAAATACAAAAACCAACCACCCAAGCAAACAAACAAAAATCAACCCACCAAATATCCAAATTAAAACCAACAATTTGTTATACGAGTTTAATGGAGTTCATAAGTTAAATAAGCATTTTGTACAGGAAAAATGGCTCGACAAATGATAAGACAACATTAAGTGAACAAATAACGAAGGGGAAAGGGGTTTGTGTATTAAACAGAACATTGCAGAAGCCCCTGTGCCTCCATAGTCACATCAGTGCAGATCCTACAGTAAGATTAACTCTGGCATATTGCTCATCAGCAATAAAAAAGAGAGAGACAGGATCTGAGCACATGTCCAAATTAAACAAATTAGTACCACTTGGTGACACAACCACAGCATGTTCAGGTCAGGCCCTCTTTGTAGCAAGAGAACTTGTTTGGCATTCTTTAAACATGTTATATAAACAGGCAAGATCAAAATAGTTCTTTTGTAAGAAACAGCAACAAATCTTTAAGATAAAAATAATTTTCAAAATCAGCTTTCATGAGAAATGCAGTTTAAGGATACCTTTAGGCATAAGTTACTGTATATACATTTTCCTGTGCATACAATATTATCATTCTCTTCCCCTACCCAAAAGTACTATTTCAACAGTAGTGCAACAGAACTTGGTAAACCACGTCAGACTGAATGCCCTGTATGAACAGCAGGGACCCACTCTCTCTCTCTCTTTCCTGAGAGTTCAAAATCAGTTTGTCTTTACTTGGTCCTTCAGTTCCTCACTTGGAGCTAGTTATCTGTAAGGACTACCTGGTAAGGTCCTTAGGTGTATATATTCAACTCATCAGCATAGTAAGGCCTGACCTCTGAGGGTCACAGCTTAACAAAATATCTCTAGCTACTCCTTACACAATGGTAATGTTTTGAAATGTAAACCATATTTCCCTTCTATAACTGAAGGACTGATCTATCAATAAAGAAATTAAACTGGAATATAAATTCTGCTAAAATTGCACTTTTCCTCTACAGTATCATTCATCATGGCAAAGTACTATGCTATAAAGTCTTTTAATATGAAATTTTAATTAAGAAGCAAACATTTTAGTTTCGGCATTCTTTATGTGCACAAAGGGTGTTCATACCCTGACACCAGAAGCAATATGGTTTTAGTCTGATAATAGTTCCTTTACAGTTGAACTAAATTGCAGATTATTCACTAGGCCAGTTAGTACAAATCAAGAGGAATGGCGATATAAACACTTAGATATGCAATCAGTTATAAACCTGGCAGTATTTTAGATACAGGTGTATTTTTCTAAAGTCTTGTGGTGGAATGATAAAAGTGTTTAGAAATCTCTTCAAATCTTTTGGAAATCCAGTCAAACATTCACATGTAGTGTAGACTGCCCACCTTCAGGCAAGCCCCAGTTGGTTTGATTATTTGTAGCAGGATCTAGTTACAGATGTTTTTTAAAAATAAAATGCACTAGGCTCCTTTGCATTCTACTGCTAGTGAAATGTAGAAAGCATGTAAGACAATATTAATGATCTTTCTCAGATAAAAAGATGGGCCATGCATGAATTTTTACTTTTTAAAAATTAATAAATCAGGAGTTAAAAGCTTAATTTAACACTCTTTTGCTACCCAATTGTTTGAGTCCCATCACTTACCATTTCACATTCATTCTACCAACAGGCCCTCTCATCTAACAATGCTTGCAAAAAGCATACGCCATATGTGAAACCTTCATCTTCTTAGTCCTGTACAAATATATTTTCACTGATAAATCCCTTTGTACAGAATTTACAATTTTCTCCATTGTGATGAAAAGGCAAAATAAATAAAGCTTATAGAGAGGAAATGCTCCTTAGGTCTTGGGCTCATTTTTCCTAGAACAGATGCTGGTCTCCACAGCATATGAAATTGGCTAGCCAGGGTTGTTTTTCTTCCTCCGACTTGGACTGTGAGTAGGATCTTGTTTCAGTTCTTGGTACTGCACCTGTTTAAACACAAAGTTCAGGGGGAAATTTCAGCTCAACAACTTGGAAAAAAATCCATGCATTAAGAGCAAGATATTATTCTTTGGAGGGAGGGAAGTGCTACCCTGTTTCCCTGAAAATAAGACCTACCCCAAAAATAAGCCCTAGCAGGATTTCTATGCATTTGTGGTATAAGCCCTAGTGTGTCTTCTTGAGAAAAAATAAATATAAGACAGTGTCTTATTTTCGGGGAAACACGGTACATAGGAATTGCACCTGAAATGCCAAAAAAAGAAAGAAAAAAGCCCACAACCCCTAGCAGATTGCTTGGTCAAAGGGAAAAAGGAGAAGCTGCATACGGAAAAATTATACCACAAAACAACACAGTGAACCCCCACCCTCCCATCCCCAGTGGAAGACATTCTTTGAGAACAAATGCTAAGAACAAATGGCAGCCACTTTAAACAGAGGGACAGAAGTGTCTGAAAATAGTACTTGAATAGTGTTGAAAGAATAGCATTATTAAAATAGTGGTCAATCTTGTTGGGTACTAGTATTAAAAAACTGGGTTAAGTTTATTTGTTTTTAAACTTGTGCTGTAGCCGTTCATATCAGGTGACAATTTAGCCCTGGGTTAATGGAAATGTTCACAACTTAAAATACATGGCACATTTAACCTAGACAAAGGATTTCTAAAGTGTGTGTGTTTGTTTCTGCAGTTATGTGATTTAGGTGCAGAATAGGCAGCACTCTGGTTTATGTAAAATCCGTTTCAATTGAAGAAGGCATTTAAGGAAAAAGAGCACCACCACAAGTTTCCACTACCACCAAAGTGGCAGCCATTCTTCTGTGCTGATCTTGCTGGGCAAAACAGTTTGCTATGCATTGCCATCCGTTCTGTTCTCTCTCTCCAGATGTATGGGAACTGAAGCAGCAGTGCTTGCTGCAACGCAACACAATTTTGATATTCTCAGCAGTGTTCTCTCTAAGCTGAGTTAGTGTGAGCTAGCTCACAGTATTTTAGCCTTTGGCTCACGGATTTTTGTCTTAGCTCAGGAAGGATGGCTCCAGAGCAAACTAATTTATGCAGTGGCCAAATGGCTCGCTCACAACTTTAATGCCAGTAGCTCACAAAGTAGAATTTTTGCTCACAAGACTCCACAGCTTAGAGGGAGCACTGATTCTCAGTGGCCTGGATTTAAAGAACTTGCCTATATGAAGTGGAATTTTTGCCCTTTTTCATGCATTCTGGGGAGAAACAGAAACCAATGTCCCAAGTCCCAAAATGCAGAACAGGTTGTATGTTTTGTTCAGTCCTGCTGATTTTTTTTTGAACATTTTTACTGTTTTCAGACTCTTAAAGCAATTTACAAGAAGTTTTAAAAACATACAATTTTAAATAAGATGTAAATATAAGTGCTCCTTTTTATTTCAAAATCCATTGTTTTTTTAAAATGGAAACCTGGGGTGTTTTATGTTGATTTGATGTGACAATTGAACATTTACAACTGTAACTTTATGGTCCACTTACTTAAAAAATACAAAAATCTTTCAACACACAAAAATCCATGGACTCGCTAAAATCCAAAAGGCCAACTGGGGGGGGGGATCAAGGCAGAATTTAAAACTTGTGTACAATAATCCCTGATAGCTGGCTAAAACAAAGTCCACCAGCCACTGGAAGAATTCTGAGCATTTTCCCCCAAGGACCTTCTGAGACAACGATTGTTAGATCGCGCTAACAAAGGACTCGTAGAGTGATTCAGCAAGTGATTCAGCTTTATTGGAAGTAACGAACAAGCACTAACTCAGTAAGAAACCAGAACAGAAAACAGTGGGAGCTTATGCTCCTTTTAAACATAACCGGGCTAATGTAGCCACGCCTATTTACAATTAACAACCAATGAGATTGCTTAGTTAAGGACCAATGGGAGTCTTTCCCTCCTAGGGAATGGTATCGTTCTGATTGGTCGCTGTTACGAAGCGACCAATAGGAAGTTCGCTCAGAGGAGCCCTGGTCTGGCTCGAAGCTTAACATAGGAGCCCTATGAGATGATTCATGTAATCGTTTCAATACATTACAACGATCATGGCAAGAACTAATCCCAACAACAGAAAGTATAGCAGAATAATATATTTTACTTGGTTTTGCAGGCTTATGAAATCTGAGCATCATGTGAAAGAATAAAACTTGAGCAAGTGTTTTTTTAAGTCACTGTTAATGACAAGTAGAGAATTTTAAGCTCACAGATATATACATACCACTTGTACATCTGAAGGAACTCTGGAAAGGAAATCAAGTACTTCATTGTTATCGATTGCATATGGACTTCGGAGTTTCTTTGTAAATTTATTGATACCTGCATGAAGGTACAGTTCATGATTTATTAACATGAAATGTTTATGTCCAATTAAAATCTATTTTAGACTGATACACAGGTTTGACTGTAAATGTGTTCTTCACAAATCCTCCTGTTATCCTCCCCTTCATTTTCTGCTTGAAACAGAGGTACATTTGAATTTGTCTTGAGAGGCTCATCAGTGATTTTTATAAGCTGAAAGCTTATAAAGGTTAGTGCCATGTGGAAACATATCAAATATTGGCTACCATGTGGCTCAGCCCCGTTCAATGGAAACTGAGGCCCAGTTCAGAGATTTACAAGATTGGCCCTGCAGTTCATAGGATGGAAAACTAGGATAATCTTTGGCCTTTCTGCCATAAAAATAATATCAAACACAGCCATTCATGAACAGGGTCTGTATGTGAAACAGCTTGAATTGCACAATTCTTCTCCTTCAAAAAATAGAGGGATTGTACAAATCAGGCCATTATACCTAATAAGCTTCCATGATTACCACCCCATAATGAAGCACTACTTTCAATGTCAGCACCCGTCACCATTGTGTACCCCGATGGCTGAAGACTCCACATGCTCTAGTACTTATCTACCCAGTGAGACTTCCCTCCTCCCCATATACATGACTTTTTCTGCCACAAGAAAAATACTGGGCTGGTGTGCCAGCTATGCCCCTTCCTGACAAAGCAGGACTTCCCCATGATTATCCATGCACAATTCACATCCATATTAGATAAATCGGTATGGGAATTGTTTCTGAGGATGGTTCAGAAGCTTCAGCTACAGTACAGTGCAGCTGCTATACTGCTAAATGGTACCAGTCATAAATGTCATATCTCACCTGTGTTAGAACAACTCCATTAGCTTCCTGTTTACTTATAGGCCCAATTCAAAGCCCTAAATTTGGGGTCCATAACATGGTGCCCATGGACACCACAGTGCCTGCTAATACCTTCCCTGCCACCCACCAAGTGTTTTCAGAAAGTGGCTGAGGTCAGGTGTGCTACTTGCCCAGCAGGGTTCTGATTGGCCTCTGGAGATCCAATACACTGGGCAAATTAAAATAACATTGTTTCAGTGGCAGTTGTCATCACAGTGTTGGTTTTAGTCTCCCTCATTTCTCCTTACCAGTGCATTTTTTTCAATTACCCCCATTCTCCCCTGCACTTAGACTTTCTCTGTGTGTGTATGACTCCACATCCTGCAGCAGACATTTTGTGGTTACTCCAGTTCCTGTGGCAGTTCCAGGCATACACACATACGCACACACAAAATTTTGTGGCTGTGCCCACCACCCTGTGTCAGAATTCCAAAGGTGCTTATCGGCTCAAAAAGGTTGGGAACCTCTGTCCTAAATGGCTTAGGATACCTACAGGGCTGTTTTTCTCCATATAGCTCTCCCTAGCTTATCCTAAGGCCCTGCTGTTTCTCCCATTTCTGAGGTGAGGAAGACAGTAGCTATAGGGATGCAAGCTACACGCTGGGAAATTCCTGGAATTTTGGGGGTGGAGCCTAGGGGGAGCAGGGTTTGGGGAAGGGAGGGACCTCAGCGGAGTGTAATTCCATAGAGTTCACCCTCCAAAACTGCCATTTTTTTCCAGGAAACTAATTTATGTTCTCTGGAAATCAGTTGTAATTTTGGGAGACTTCCAGCACCCACCTGGAGGTTGGCAACCCTAACAGAGTCTTTTTGGTTGCGGTAGGCCAGCTTTGGATATTTCCCTTGTGCCTGGTAAAAACATACTTATTTTCACAGGCATTGGAATTAACTTGCCTACCTCTGATTTATAATACTGTAACTGTTTTATTGTTTGTTGCTTATGTATTTTAACATTGGTGATTGTTTAGTTTTTTATGTTTTAGCTCTTTAATCTTTTTATTTCATTTCTCTTTGTTTTTTGCTGATTGTATCAATATTAACATGCTTCATCGTACTTTAATGTTTCTAAGTGTTTATTATAAACCAAGTCATAAACTGGTTTTCTGGTTGTTTCAGAAAAAACAACCAACAAACGAACCATGTAACTGGAACAGTTTGTGCCTTTTCTTTTCTTTTTGAGAAGTCTCTAGGTGATATTCCTTATTCCTTGCAGCTGAGCTCTAGATATCCATTTTGGCAGATTCATTCAAAGCAGACTTCAGAATTATCAAATAGAATGTCTGTCTACTGTGAATATTGCAAGTATCCAACTGTGAAAATTAAAGAGCTGGGGTTCCATTAGTTAGCTCATATTTTTCATCACTAATCTTTGCAAATATGCTGTTTAGTAAGTCTTCAAAATCAGTAGAAAGAGGCCAATTTGTAGACGTTGCATAAAAGATAAACTGTTTTTTCAGCCATTCATTTCTGTATTCTGAGGGGACTTCATACAAGATTTCCTTTTTCTCAGGTACACTAAGAAAATGCAAAATAATACTCTGTGTAGACAAATGCATTAGTATATTTTGCCTATCTTGCTAATCTAAAATGCACACAAGTACAAAATAATATTGGATACTGCAACATACCTACATATGTTTTTATTCATTTAAAGGTGACCCCCTCATGCCTGGTTTCTAGGCACTGACTTCATATATTTCCATCTGATAAAAGCCTGAAAAAGCTTATTGTTCTAAATGCACTATATAAATTGAAATGCCACTGTTTGTATATATGTAGTGAAAATAAATCAGTGTAATATCTAGACAAAGCTGCAGTTTGATAGATGAAGAATCTTCATGGATACATGTTTATAGTATGATGAAGTCTAAAATGCCAGACAAGAAAAATGCATTTGGCAGGTGGGCCTAAATCTTTACACAGTTGTGATTTCTAACTAACCTGTCTGTTTCCATCATGTAGTAGTTTCATGATCATAAATACACAGAACTACTGACAGTATAACTCATCCCTTAAAAACAGCTTGTTCTAAGTAGCACAAGACAGCTTTGGAAGGGGGGAAAAAGCTTTACTTACCCCAGACAAGGACAATGTATCTCAGTGGAATGAAATACAGGATGACTGTGAACCCAGAGAAAGCAACAATGGCCAGCCAGCTTAAGAATGGAACAGTCCAGTTGAAGGTACTGAATGAAAAATTAATTCCAGTCAGAAGGGTCATTATCAATGAACAGAATTAATAAAGAACAAGTGCCAGCCAGGCAGGATGTAGATCTATAAACGGAACATAGTCAGTCCTTGGTGAAAGAACCAAAGTAGTTTAAGAAGGCAGATACAGAGTATGATGTATAGTGGGATTTGAACTCACTCCCTAGCAAATCCCAGTCAGGCTGAAACTCTCCAACCCATGAGAGAACAGAGTCTGTTTCAGCTCCACGGAGCTATTCTTCTTTATACAAATCACAAAACATAATTAAAGATATTCCAGTGCTTTCCTCCCTCTCTGTCCCCCAAAACTGCCCATTTTCTCAAAACACACCACTTAAAAGAACAGCACACAAATATTCATGATGCTCTCAAGATGCTCTCAAGATGCTGTCCATACTAAAGTCCTCTCTCTCTTGCTCTCTTATCAGAGGTTCAGAGAATATTTGCCAGCCAGTTATTCGGTCATCTGTGTCTGGCAGAACTCCCTGGCTGTGGTCACATATCGAACAGAGATATGAGGACACGTATTATGGTTAATAACTTTAATTTAGAAGAACAGCCTTAGGGTGAATAGAGAGGAGAGAAAAAAGACAGAATTAGGAAAAACTAGTCATAAAAATAAGGAAGAGAGCAAACCTGCATGAATCTTAGGGACACAAAAAGGAACTTCTTACAATATTCTTGTTCTTGGAAGAGGAGTTTTAAAATTTAAATCCACCCCAGTCACGCCGCAGAGGAGGCGCACTCCCTTCACTGACCAACTTGTTTCTTTTGAATTACCAACTTGTTTCTTTTGAATTAACTGGGGGGGGGAGGAGAATTAATTTCACAGGCAACGCCAACTTTACTTTCAGCACAAAGGAAGGATCTGGTCTGGTCTACTACCTTACCCCTATGAAAGAGACGCCTTTAAGCCCAGGCAAGCCCCATCTCATCAGATCTCAAAAGCTAAGCAGGGCCAACCCTGGCAAGAACTTGGAAAGGAGACCTCCAAGGAATACCTGGGCTGGGACACAGAGATGGGCAATAGTAAGCCCCCTCTCTGAAATGTCCAAGCCCCACTAAGAGTCACCAGAAGTCAACCATGAGTTCCAGGCATACACACATACGCACACACAAAATGCACACAAAAAAGACACCTTTAAATTAGTGAAAAGGGCCACATGCTCCAATACTCACCTTGAGCTTAAAGTTACATAAAAAGGAAGAGAGGTTTCCAAACACTATGTGCCAGGAAGCCTTAAAAATGGTTATTAACTCTTAATCTGCAATTTACTACCTATTATTTTGGTATCTCTGTCTGTGTGTTAAGTGCCATCAAATCGCTTCTGACTTCTGGAGACCATATAAATTAATGACTTCCAAAATGTCCACAACAGCCTTGCACAAGTCTTGCAAACTGAGGGTCATGGCTTCCTTTACAGAGTCAATCCATCTCATGTTTGGTCTTCCTCTTATCCTGCTGCCTTTGACTTTTCCCAGTGTTATTGTCTTTTCCAGTGACTCCAGTCTTCTCATAATGAGACAAAAGTACAATAGCCTCAGTTTAGCCATTTTAGCTTCTAGACAGCAGGATTCATTTGATCGACAACCCACTTTTTTGTATTCTGGGCAGTCCACAGTATCCATAAAACTCTTCTCCAACACTACATTTCAAATTAATCTATTTTCTTTGTGTCAGCTTTTTCCACTGTCCCACACCCATACATATTAATAGGAATACTATGGTATGGATTATTCTGATCTTGGCCCTTCCCATTCTCAGTCTCCTTCTGATTTCTTGGTTGCAGTCTCCATTTTGGTTGATGATGGAGCCTCTATATAGCCTCTAGCCATACTGAGATGAACAGTAACTCATGGAAGAGTGGGAATTTCTATCAGGAAAAGAGAACTTTAGGAAAGGGTTCTCAGACACACACACCCCAACAGCTACTTTTGAATGTCAAAGTTAATACTGTGAAATCCAGTCACAGATCTTTCACCTAATATGCAGTTTAACACTCAAGAGAACAATTTAATTCACGACAGAGATATCTCCAGTAATGAATTTTATTGACTGTGCTCTTTCCCAAACTCGTACTTTGTCCCACTTCCTTTAGACAGTTTCTCTCGAACTGCTGCCCCTCCCTCCCTCAGCATACTACCTTCCACAAAAAAACCCCCAATAACACAATAAAGCTTGTCACAGACCCTTTCTGTATAAGTTTTATCTCCTCTGTGGATACTTTGACAATACTGCTAGGCACTTTTGAATGTTTCCAAGTTGGACTATTCACACAATCTTCATTGGTGCAATTGTAACAGATATTATAAGAAAATAACCACAACTACGGAAAACCTGACTCAGTATTTCTCAAAGGCATCCTGATCTGTGCTTGAACAATTCTGGAAGAGGGCAGTTTATGAGGTGAACCACTGAGAAGAAAACAAGTTTACTCTTGACATTTTACACTTCTTGTATAGGGAATACAACCTATATGCACATTCAGCTGATTAGAAAGATTGCAAAAGAACATAAGAAATGCAGCAATATTTTAGGGGGGGAGACATCTAATGGGTTAAAAGTAGCACACAAGTGAATTTTGCACAGAACAAGGTAAACTAATCTGTAATACACTTTGTGTGTGTGTGGGGGGGAAATAAACATTCTGCACCGTGTAAATTCTGTGTCCTATATAGATTATACATACATCTGCACAACTTATTCTGTTTCTGCTAATCATGGGGAAAACCACAGAATTGTGCATGGAACTGAAGCCACTGGGAACAGGATTGCTGATCTGTTTCTGAGTGTCAAACACTAGGAAGACGCATTCAGTACTGCAGAGTGTTTAGCAATTTGGCAACACTTCTTACAGGCCAATGTGCCATTACCTGAATATAGCTAAAAATCTGACTGCTGCTGTCCCAAGTACCTGGAGAAGTCAGTCTCATCCCAAATCACCTCCAACTGGACCTAGCATTCTGGGATGGGACAAAGGTGTCTTCTATGTTTGTTGCATGGTACACACAGCTTTTTTCAGCTCCTCTTGCTGACCTTTATAGTCTCCCGATCCTTCATCGCCCACCATTCCACATCAGCTCTCACATTGTTAAGCCTGGTTCCAAGACTGACTCTGCTATCAAACCAACAGTAGCCTTGGGGATATGGGTAGACAGTGTGGTCCCCCCATGAACATGAAGTATTGTGTATTTCAGGTATTCCTGGATATTTCTGCTCCCTCGTCCTTCAACCTTCTCTAGCATCTCTCTCCTCTCCACCTCTAATACACCAAGCATGGCAGCAGTCACTCAACTGACTATGATAGTTAAACATCTTGTAAAAGCCCATCAACCAAATGCAAGTGCTGAATAAGCATTTAAGAGGTAGGCATCCATCCATATGATATTTAACTTCTGCATAATTTTAGTAAATATGATTCTTCAAAGTATATTCCTAAGGGAATAGAAACTGGCATTTCTATAAATGAAAACAGCAACCCTGTGTCCATAATACATTAATTAGTGTATATTAATGCATACCCATTAATATCATTTCACAGAAGTGAAGACAGAATCTATTCTATAATATTGTACACACAGGTAAAGATAAAGGTTCCCTTGCTCGAAAACCAGTCGAATCTGACTCTAGGGTTGCGGTGCTCATCTCCGTTTCAAAGCCGAAGAGCCAGTGCTGTCCAAAGACATTTCCGTGGTCATGTGGCCGGCATGACTAAACACCAAGGCGCATGGAACGCTGTTACCTTCCCACTGAAGTGGTACCTATTTATCTACTTGCAATTTCTTGCTTTCAAACTGCTAGGTTGGCAGGAGCTGGAACTAGAGACGGGAGCTCACTCCGTCATGCGGCACACTCGGGTCTCAAACTGCTGAACTGCCTACCTTCCACAGCCTGCAGTTCAGCGTCTTAACCACTTGAGAGAGAGCTCTAATTATTCAAAGCATATTAAAGAGAGCCAGCATGGTGTAGAGAACCAGCATGGCATAATGATTAGAATGTTAGACTAGGATCTGGGAGAATCCTCCATATTCTTCCATGAGAGCTCACTGTGTGACTTTAGGCCAATCACATACTCTCAGCCTAACCTGCCTTACAGGGTTGTTGTGAGGATAAAATGAAGGGTGGGAGAATGTTGTAGGCCACTATGAAAACCCATTAGGGAGACAAGTGAGCTGTAAATGAAGTAAACGTAATGTCAAAGGAATGCATTTGGCTCATTGTTCTCTGATAAAGTACTCCGTATTGGGCAAGTCCGAAGTTTTTATATAGTTCTGTTATCTTGTACATTAAGTCTTAACACTGAAGTGTTTTTCATGCCTAAGAAGATAATCCTTTCATTGAAAACTTTTATGAAAACCTATACCAAAAAGAAAACATCAACCAGGAATATTTGAGAGACTTTTAAAATAAACACAACAAAAAAGAATTTACTGAGGATCAAAGGAAAATATTAAATGAACCTATTGCTTTTGTGGAAATAATAGAAGCAATTAAAAATCAAAAGAAGAAAAAGACCCCGGGTCCAGATGGACTTCCAGCAGAAGTTTACCAGATACTTGAAGACCAACTTGTTCTGCCATTAAAATATACAATACAGAATATTACTGAACAAAAGAAAATCCCAGAATCTTGGAATCAAGCACTGATTACTTTGATACATAAAATGGAAACAGATGAGAAAGAAATTAAAAATTATAGACCAATTTCACTATTAAACATGGATTATAAGCTTTTTGTATCTATCTTGGCTAACAGGTTAAAGTAAGTGTTACTCCAAATAATACACCAAGATCAATCAGGATTTTTACCAAAAAGACAGATGAGAAACAATGTAAGAATCATCCTAGATATTTTGGAATATTTTGAAGCACATCCAGAAAAACAACTTGCTTTGGTATTTTTGGATGCTGACAAAGCTTTTGACAACCTTAATTGGTCCTTTCTGTTAGAACAACTACAGCATTTGCATTGTGGCGATACTTTTTTCACAATAGTGAGAGCAATTTACACAACATGTTAATGGTAAATGGGGATATCTCGCAGAAGATTGAAATACAAAAAGAAAAACACAAGAATGTCCATTATCTCCATTACTTTTTATTTTTGCTCTTGAAACCCTGAATGATATGGTGAGAGAAGATTGTCAGATTAAAGGACTTAAATTAAAAGGAGAAGAATATAAATTGCAAGCATTTGCAGATGATTTGGTACTTATTTTGGAAGACCCACTTTTTTCCATTACTCAACTTTTGAATAAGGGAATATGAACAAGTGGCAGGGTTGAAAATTAACTTCAGGAAGACAAAAATGCTGACAAAGAATTGTACGAAAGAACAGATCAAACAATTACAAGAAAAATCCGGTACTGAAGTACAGAAAAAAATAAAATACTTAGGTATACTTTTAACAAATAGATGCAGCACATTGTTTAAGGATAACTATAGTAAACTCTTGAGCTCTATTAAAAAAGACTTGGAAAAATTGAATCAATTTCAATTATCTTTTATGGGAAGAATAGCTACTATTAAGATGAACGTTTTACCGAGAATTCTCTTTTTATTTCAAACAATTCCAATTGCACTGCACCAACAATACTATAAAGAATTGGAAAAATTGACACGGCAGTTTATATGGCAAAATAAAAGACCAAGAATTGAGATGAAAGTGTTACAAGACGTGAAAGAAAGGGGAGGCTTTGCAGTACCCAATTGTCAACTTTATCATAAAGCTACAGCCCTGACTTGGTTGAAAGAATGGATTACCCTGGAAAACTTGAGGCTATTGAAATTAGAAGGTCATGATTTGAAATTAGGATGGCATGCCTTTATATTATGAGAAAATGGAGGTACATAAATATTTTAAACACTCAGTGAGCATCTCTGTTAAAAGTTTGGGAAGGGGTTAAACGTATTTTTAATACAAAAATATCTAAATGGGTTTCACCTTTAGAGGCTTTTATTAATCATAACATTCTCACTAAGGAACTTGTATGGACATATGAAGATTTGTTAGATAAGGAGAACTTACTAAATCCACAAGATGTTTTGCAAAGACAGGGTATTCCTCAGGGGTAATTTCCTGTGGGAGCACACAGGAGCGGAGCTCCAGCAGTAAGGAGCCCAGGGGGTGGGCACATGCAACAAGCCCCACACCCTGCTCCCAGCAGCCCTCAGTTGGGCCACGAGGAGCAAGAAGCAGCCAGGTAAGTTGCAGAACCCCCCTTGTTTTATACTATTTTGTTAGATATTGCAAGATGAAACAGTTAAAAGCGCAATGATAAAGTGGGCACAAAACATAAGTCATAATATTCAGTTGGACCAATGGGCGAAGGTGTGGTAAACAAATATAACATTTACTAAAGCTGTCTCATTTAAAGAAAATATATATAAAATGTTTTACAGATGGCATATGACACCAGAAAATCTAGCTAAATGGTACCCAAATATGTCGAATGTTTGCTGGAAATGTAAACAAAAAACAGTTCATTTTTTCACATGTCGTGGACATGCAAGGTTACAAAGAAAATTGGATATGGATTCATGAGATATTGCAAAAGATATTAGATATAAGCAGGGCTACTTTTGGGCAGGAACTCACAGGAACAGAGTTCTGGCTGGGTTCAGAGTTGGCCGTGCCCACTACAGCCAAAACCTCTGTGTGTGTGGCTACAGAGGGAGGGCCTGGAGAGGAACCCCCCCCAGCGACTCTGAGGCAGGTGGGCCAGAGGGGGCCCTGGAAGGATCAGGGAGGCATTTAAGTGCCTCCCTGTACTTTCCCTAGCCTTCTCTTCCTTTCAAGGGGAGGCTTGTCCGGGCAAGCCAAGGGAAGGCATGGGGTGTGGCCTAATATGCTAATGAGCTGTACTGTCAGGGGGTGTGGCCTGATATGCTAATAGACTGTGCTGTCAGGGTGTGGCCTATTATGCTAATGAGTTCCTGCTGGGCTTTTTCTACAAAAAAAGCCCTGGATATAACTGTACCATTTGTACCAGAACTGTTTTTATTAAATATAGTACCAGAGACATTTAAGAAACCAGATACATATATACTCATGCATGTAATAACTATGTCTAGAATTTTATATGCAAAATATTGGAAGAAGGAGAAGTCCCATCAAAAGAAGAAACAATCTACAAATTATTGGAAACAGCAGAAATGGATAAACTGACTTTACAACTACAAGAAAAGCAAGAAGAAATCTTTGAAAAGAATTGGGCAAGAGTTTGTAAACGGTTGGAGGACTATCTTAAGAAACTTTAAAAATAGGTTATAAGCTCTCAACATGAGAACTTAAAAATGAAACATGTGTATACAGTATAGATTCCATTTAGACAAATGTAAATGAAAGTAATGAGTACGGACTTCAGGCTTATTGTTTGTTGACTTTTCTTTCCTGTATATGTTATTCTCTGTCTCTTTATTTTTTCTGAAAAATAAAAATCTTTATATAAAAAAAGAAGATAATCCTTTCACTCCATATCAACATCTAATGTATTGTAAAATCATTTATAACATTTAATAGGAAGATATGGATGACCTGCTATACTAGGGCAAGAAAGCTCAACTAGAGCAGTTTGATTGGACGTAGGGGCTCTCAGTTAAAATGTATGTATGTATGTATGTATGTATGTATGTATGTATGTATGTATTTAATTCATTTATATCCTGCCTTTCTTCCCAAGGGGTACTCAAAGTGGCTTACATCCGTCTCCTCTCCTCCATTTTATTCTCACAACAACCCTGTGAGGTAGGTTAAGCTAAGAGAGTGTGAGTGGCCCAACATCACCCAGCGAGCTTCCATGGCACAAGTAGGGATTTGAACCTAGGTCTGACACTAAGGAGTGTTTGATGCCTGAACTTCCACCTGGCCATACTTCCTCCTTCAAAGATATATTGTTTCTTTTCTGGGTCCCATATTTTTTCCAACATCCTGATTAAAACAATAGTACTTGCATATCAGCAACAGCCAAAGTAAAAACAAAGATATTTAGTAATATATTTTGTCCTCTGCCCAAGGTATGTAACATTTTGTAATTTGACTTTGGGGAGGGGGGAAGCACAAACACATGTGAACCGCTTCTGAACAACTGAGCACCCATATGTTCACACTCACTTCTTTATCCTTTCTCCAAAGGAAGCTACTTCATCAAGGATGTTCTGGACACTGACACACACTTCCTGGATGGCATACAGCTTATTCATAAATCCTTTCTTTTCGCTGTCCTAAGGATTAGGAGAAGGAGGTAAAATCAGCAATCACAGGCAAGTTTGTTGCTAATACTGGAATTATTATAGTTTTCCCTAGAAACACATGGAGGTCATCATGAAAGTGAACTGAAAAAAAATGTTGACTACATATTGAGGAATCATTTATTTCCCCGTACTTTGAACTTTGTGCATGATGGATATATAAAAACAATACACCATAGTGAGCAGCTTCATCTGTCACTGGATCAGTTTCTTAAATATAAGTTCCAATAATTCAGTAACCTGCTTTATTATTATGTGTTAGGGATGCCAATTTCATATCCTGTGCATTTTTGGTAAGAGATAATAATCAGTCTATTACTATCTCACATTTCTGAAATGTACTTTCTGTATTGGCAAGAATATATCTGCATTTCAAAATGATAAAAGCTTCTTTGGAAGTATAATCCTTAAGAAACAAGCCACAATCTGGGTTGGGTTTAGAATGGTTTTAACAAGGTTTCTCTACTTTCTCCCACAGTTTTGTAATGGACTGGCACTCATTTTTAAATTATGGAAAACATGAAGTGTAATTTATTTTAAAATGCCATTCTTGTGGTATTATCATTCCAATGAAATGTATTCAATATTAAAAGGTAAGTACTAATGAGTGGCTTTGAAGGTTTTTTTTTTAAACAATGGAAATGCCATCCCTCTCTTCCATCACCTCTTTCCTATACCATTAGTTTTTCCTTAAAATCTACCTCAAGGGTAAATCTGATCAAAACTTTAAAAAAAAAATATTATGGAGACATAAACACAAATGACGCTGAATTAGTCGTGGTATGAAATCAATTTATTAGAAGTGTCAATATTTCTTAATTTCTTTGCTAATACTTAATATCTCATTAGTTAAAAATAACATTGGCAAATTTTTACATTACTTTTCTGTCCAAACCAAGAAGTGAATCATCATACAACATTTAATCACCCAAGTGTTCTCTCACAATAATAGCAGAGATTAAAAAATTGCTCTAAAGACAATGAAAGAATTTAGCCACAAAGACAAACTAGCTATAAATCAGCCATCAAAGGTTAGCTATGTATGGTTGAACTTTTTGTAATGATTCAGTATACATTTAAAAAACATACGTTTTGAGGAATGACAGTTGCATTGTTTTCCTAGATTACCCATTAAGTTAGAAATATTTTTCTTTGTGAAAATCCTCATCAAACAAAAGATGTTATTAATGATCCTGCTACTTGGATCACATTCCTCAATGTATATACACCAAAACTATGACATTTCCTTGATGTTTATTGCATTCAGGAAAAGAAAGAATTCAGATGTGCTATATACAGTAGAGGTGGTCTACAGCACTATAGTTGTAAACCCCTAGGATACAGAGGTTCTTATTTATGTTGTCGCTGTTACAATCTTTCCAGAGAATCTGACCATTTAACTAAAGGACTGTGAACCTATTGTTAGGATAATTACTAAGTAAACAATAATCCAACATCAAGTATCAACTGCTTTCTGTTCCCACTTATGCATCTTTAGTTTTGATTTCCAGATCTAAGTGTATCTTGATTCATCATCAAATCTTGTGTGGAAGGAATGCTATCAGGATAACAAAAACAATACCCTTTCTTATATCTCTACAGCTCAATAGGGATTTATTTGGGAGATCTTGAAGCTATTTTTCTTCACAAATATTTTTAACAAGACAAACTTGTACCTTCTTGAATGCACATCTGTTCTAAATCAACTCTTTTAAAAGGAAAGGGCCACTACATTCTCTTCTGTCCCACTACATGCTTCCCTTCAGAGTTTAAAGGAAACCTGTTGACATATTCTGAGGCTATCATAGACAAAACAGCATAGGAAAGAGGAGGCAGCCAGAAGCATAATGGTTCAGCTTTTCTTAAACTAGTTCCACATGGCCCATGAGCCATTAGCTGTTTTTTATTTCCTGTTCCAAAGATTTGTACAAAAAATAATCTGGGCTAGAGAAAAGCTAGTTTTCCCCAGGAAGGTGCTGTGTTAGCAAACAGAACATATGAGCCACCTTCGGTGAACTAAAGTCCTTAATAATCCATTTTTCAAACACTACTGGTATTTCCTGTCCAAACAAAGATGGACTGTAACTGGAATCAATTTTATCATCAGTATGGCTACAATTGCCAACTTTCTGGAAATGATTGTCTTTTAAAGACTGGGTAAAAGTGCAAACAACAGTTTTACAGGTATTTAATTTCCATTGTATGTTTGCGTACAGTAGGGTTTAACAAAAGCAAGATATTTGAAGCAGAAAAGTACACTGAAGCATTAAAATTGTCAGGTTAATCGTGTTACTTTGTCTCGAGTTCACAAAAAGCAAAAGGTAATTCAGCAGGGGATTACTACTACAGAGTAAACTTTACAGTGTGGCATAATATGCTACATATTAGCCTAATACACACAGATCTTGGTTGATTTTCAACACGGTTGGAATATAATACAGGCTACCCAGATAGTTCTAAAACAGAACAATCTAAGGAAAAAAATCAATTTCTGCCGCTTCTTCCATTCTTTTCAGCCAAAACTACACCTTGAAATAAATGGTAGGACTATCCCTTCTAGATAGTCACATTTTTGTACATGTGACTCAGTATACTAAAAACAGGAACTGAGAGCAAAAGCACAGATTTGGCACACAAAACTCACCAATGAGTTTCTAAAAGTATAAATCTCAAGAATCCCTAATTATTTCTATCCTAGGCTTTACTTCAGGGAAGTTTATGATAACATACACCTATTAAACTATTAAAAGGTACTTATAAAGCTTAAAAATGCATTTTAATTATTATAATAATTCTCTAAATAAATAGATAGATAATGTACCCACTCACCATGTTGATGAAGAAAAAACAGATTCTTATGGAACTTACATGCAATTACATGTCATCAAAATGAACTTTCTGATACAGAGCACATGCTTTTAGTTGCCAAACCACTCCTCGAATGAAACATGACACAAGTTATGTGTTAAACTGGGAATTTTATTTACACAAAGGCTGATCTGCACATCTTAGTTAACACGTTAAAACATAGGTTGCATTGGGCTTGCAAGGCAAATGCTTTCTAACAGAGCAAAACCATCCCAGCTCAGATCCAGGTCTGGGATCCTTTCTAACCATTCTCCTCATGGTCAGCACACAAATATGTCGAGGGGATGGATAAGCAAAGTCCCACCCACAACTGCTAAGCCTTAGGGCTCATTGTATGTCCCCCTCAAAGGGGCCCCCAGTGAGCCACCCAGACTGCCAAAACGATAGGCAACCAGTTTTAGGGACCACCCCTATCACTGGTATCTTTGGGTGCTTGCCAACTCTAAATCCCCTCAACGACCCATGCTGTCCCTGCCTCCCCTCCCACCATCTGCACGCCAACCGGTCATGCAAACCAACCTGCAGATTGACTAGAAAATGTCCATCCTAGCAGCAGAAGGTGAACTCCATCGGGCCTGAAAAGATGCAGCAACAAGAACTTGATCCCGGGGTGTGGCATCACCCTACTGCCCCCAGAGACCACTGACCTGCCTATGATGTTGTTTGGCCAGTGCCAGTTTTTCTTCAACCCCCCAAACCCCACCTGGGCAACATATTGGACCAGACCAGCACAGTGTCGGGAACCAACACCTAAGCATCTCCAAATCCCACAGAATCTCTGCCAGCAAGAGACGACTGACCTATTGCCCAAATAGTTCTTGCCCAAATGCATGACACGACCTGGGGAGGTGTTCTTGCCAACATGATTTTACATTAGTGGTCAAGAACACCATTACCGAAACAACTGTGAGCTAGTTTCATGTGCCCAAGGATCATCTTAAAACTCACTTTACAATCATACCCCCACCCTCAGAAAGCTGAAATTGCACATAACAAATGGGTTTGGCTTATTCACACAAGCTTACACACAATATGGAGCTATACTGACAGCTCTCAGTCCAGCTCAGCCCTAAGTCTGTATTTGTGCCAGCCAATATACAAGGAAATTCATAGTACCTTCCTAATGTCACAAATCATGAATTTGCAGATGTATTTCTCTAACAATGCAAAGATGCACGTTCAGAATGTGTAGAATTTCAGTGCAATAGCAACTCGCTGCAGGTATGCTTCAGTTTTCATAAAGAAGGTGACTGACATTCACACGTACCTTGTTCACCATGCCTATTTTGGCTAGACTTGGAACACTTAATTTGATCATCTCAGCAATTTGCTAACAGTTCAAAATGAATAGCTTTTAGAGTACTTCTGTGTCTACATGGTGGCAGCATTCAGCATGGCAACTGGCTGGGCAAGTGCTGCTTACTTACAGTTACTAGCTTGCTTGGATTACATATGCCCCAAGGCAATCATCATGGTCAGATCATGCACTAGGGAAATGAGTACTTAAACATGCAGTCATATTAGAGTATTTCTGATCAGGACCCTATAAACATTGAGCCAGGCAGGTTAAATGGGCAAGGTTAAACACAGACACAATCTTTCACCCGGATTTAAACTCATCTTTTATTTCTGAACTGATTCCCCCCCCCCCAAGATGAAAGATGGGGGATGGGGACAAAGGAAATGTGGTGGAAATGAGCATGTGTGAGCATTTTTTAAAATCAATTTTTGAATGTTTTTTGGGGGGAAACTAAGCACTTGGTTTGATGGTGGTATTTGTAATTGTTTTCTAAATTGAGGGGTGATCAAGCAACTCTGACTGACTGTTTGCTTCTAAGTACAATTAAGATAGCAAAGATGGTAATATTGACAGAAAAAGTAACATTTCAGACTACTCTGTGGCTTGGTGCTGTAGACCCAAAGTCATTTAAAAAAAACCACAACTAATCAGTAACATGGTTGGTTTGATAAACTGAAGTTCAAATGCAGTGGATATAGCAATAACTGGAATACCTTTAACACAAGCAGAACAATTTAAACTCTTTGTTTTCTGGACTATAGAAGATTATAAGCTTGATTATGATTTCGTGTATAATAAATGCCTG